GAAATTCTGTCAAAGCAATAAAATTTCCCAAAATAAAAATCGAAACATCTGTTCTTTGTTGTTTGTCTACACCAACAATAACAGCAACAACAACAAAATTTGTGCCCAATGTCCGAAATGTTGCTGAGCATGGGTGAAATGTTGCCAGTGCATGTTGCTGGCCAACAGATGGCGCGTCACATGATCGTTGCGCACAGGTGGCGTCAGCAGCGTTGCGATCGTTTGTGCGCCATGAAACCTAGATGGCGCCACACGTACTGCCATGGAATATTGTAAGCAATTTCGTTTCTCTAAGAAGATTATCGCTATAATATGTTAATAATGATATTTAATTTTAACCCACCTTAAATTTATAAAAAAAAAATTAAAGTATTTCCGCACATTATCCGAATGTTTTTATATACTATATTTAATGTGCTCGCAACTAGCATCGAGCTATGGCTGGCGGCGCAATTGGAAGCTGCAAAGCTTCTTAGTTTGAAGCCATCTAATCCTTTAAGTCCAACACATTCCAAGCGCTGTCTCTCTCTCACACACTCTATTGTCACTGCTCGCTCCTGAGCTCGCGGCGGCTTTTGGTTGATGTGTTTTAAGTGTTTACACATTGAAAGTGTGAAAGCTGTTGTCAATTCGTAAATGTTTTCATACACTACACATCCACACTTGGTTGAGATGGCTTTAATTTACTCTAATGTTGGGTAGATTGACACATATAGGGAATAAAGATATTAAGATAATTATGTAGCTGGACTTTTCTTGTTTTCTAAATCAATTTGTGATAATTAGGTATTCTAAAAGCTATATAAATGTCTATATATGTACAAATACATAAGCACATAAATACATTATGTATATGTATCTATAAACTAGAAGTTTATATATGAACCAAATAATACAAAATAAATTAAAAAAAAAAAAAATAAATAAATAAAATAAAATACAAAACAAAAGAAAAATTAAATCTAAGAAAAATGTCAAGCAAGAATGTTTATGTATATAATTTTTTATTTGTGTAATATATCAAAAAGTTTATGTGAATTTCTTTTCAAATGCTCATAAATTTCCCTTCATTTTAATGTATATTATATATACATATATACGATTTATAAACAAAATATTTCACAATATATATTTTCTATCTCACTGCCATAATCTGAGAGTATTTATGAAAAGCATTGCCCTAGACAATGTGAGATCCTTGCCTTGCCTTGTCTGCCTGCTTGAGTAGTGCCTGGGGTCAGATTCTGGCTTTAGCTGCTTAACCTTAGATTGTAAGGGGTGCGTGTGTGTGTGTGTGGGTTGAGGGCTGCGGGATGGCATGTAAGTGGGCTTAGACGACATGTCTGTCATGCCAATCGCATGCGCTAAGCGTTTCCGCTTCCGTTGAAATTTAATACGCTACAGAAACAAAACAAAATTTTGGAAAAAAGGAATGCAGACAGTTAGACATGTGCGCCTAGCCTATATAGAGTCTATATGGCATATTCATATATCGCGTAGATTTTTCGCTGTGCCCTCTTTATTTAATTTTTTTTTTTTTTTTTTTGGCACTCGCTGCGCATTTTGTAGCTTGTTTTATTTGCTTTTTATTTTGCTTGCAAAACTTCGTGCAACTTGTTTTGTTTTTCTTGCTATTTTTTTTTTTGTTCTTGTTCTTTTTTTTTCTCATCTACATTTTGACTGGGCACACAACTAGAAGCATTAACGACTCTTTTTGAAAATTGCAACAAAATGTTTTGTTGTTTATTTACGCAAATTTGTGTAGACTTTGGCCAAATGCCAGGCATTACGAAAAGCCCGCAAAACACGACGCCATTTTTCGAGAAGGCAGCAAAAAAAAAAAATATTTAAATGAAATAAATAATAGACAAAAAACCGCAATAACAACACTGTGCAACATAAATGTAGCACGTGTTTGTTATGGGAAATATTAGAATTAATAAAAAACAAGGAAGCAAATATTTTAATACACAAAAAAAAAAATATATATATATAAAATTGGAAAAAAATGTGCAAAATATAAAATAGAAAAACAAAACACTGTACAACGAGATTATGACAACAATGTGGCTTACGAAAATACTTTGTGGCTTTTGTTCTTTAATATAGCTCTATAATATAATATAATATCAGTTTATAACTGATTGTTATTGTTAATATTATTTGTAATCGATAAAGGAATAGTTATCGATATCGATAGAAGACTAATAAAAGAAAATTTGAAGTGTCTAACTCTTATAGGTTCTGAGACCGGTGCGCTCACATATACAAACAGACGGAGAGGCCGAGATCGTATCGCCTATGGGGTCTGTCCTTCTGCCGTTTAAATACATTTCGACCAATCCATTATGCTCTTATAATGGCTATACAAAATTCTCGTAAAATGATGATTATGATAATGATTTTCAATATTTATATATGATATAAAGAAATAAAAGACAATTTGTAAAAAAAAGTAAAAATTTTTATATCAAATAAATGTTAACTAAGAAAAGTGCAATAATATCATCGTTTCAACAAAGTATAGGAATTTGTGAATTATTATTATAAATTATGGAAATTCTTATCGAGAAATATTTGAAAAGTTTTTTATATTTATCAAATAACGGCCAGCTCTGTATATAAGAACTCTATGCAACAAAGTTGTACAACGAGTTTATTATGGAAAATATTTACACGAACTGTGTGTTAGTTTATTCCATTGAAAGCCCAAATTTCCATATATACAAAACGAAAAATATATAAGAAAAATACCAGGCAAACACAAAAACACTATGCAACAAAATGCTGAAAGAGACTTACACGAAATATTTGTTAACTTATTCATTAATTGCTAGACGTCCCTCAGTCCACAATTGGGATGATTTAAGTGGGGTTGGGTGGGTTGGGGACCTGGGGGAGCTGTCTTGTCACCCCATTCGATTCGACAATTTCATTTTCATTTTCATTTCCATTTTGATTTTCATATGCTTCCTCTACCAACACCGCCAACACATAGGTGGGCGTAATGCTGTGTGAAAAGTTGTTTGTCTGTGTGCGACGTATAGGGCATGTCATAAAAATCAAGTGAAAAGCGCCACAAGAAGACGCACAAGTAAAAAAAAAATAAAATAAAATGAAGAAGAAATGTCGAAAAACCATGACAAAGACCAAAGCCAAAGGGAAGGAGAGGCGGCACTCAGACGCAAGGGGGTGTGGCAACGGGCGGGCGGTTGGCTACACACGACAGCAGCAGCATGAAGAAAAAAATGTAGAATTTATTATAGACAACTGTGCTGCCTGAATTCGGCTGCGTCCATTTGTTTGTTTGCCCAGCTTCCACACTGTCTCACTCGCTCTCCCTGTCTCGCTCTCTCTGTCGCTCCATCTTACTATCTGTCTCGCTTCGTCGAAAAAGGAAAAAATGCTGCAGACAATTGGGACCCGCTGGAAAAGCTCCTCTTGCTAGCTGCCATGGCAACACACACGCACTCAGAGCTACCAATACATATATAGCTACAGTTACAATACATCACAGATATATAATGTGTACAAAGGGGGCAACACTGATCAATGATATATATATACCTATGTGTGTGTGTAGGTGTATTTGTAGTTGTAGTTGCTGCTGCTGCTGCTGCTGCTCTGGATGGATGCGATTGCTGTCGCTGCTGCTGTTGAAGCATTTCATTAGCCACCCACACAAAATACTATGCGCACAATCATACACACACACACACACCTGACATACAACCGCACTTATACACACACAGTCAACACTCATAACACTCATGCACACACGCAGAATAGAGGCGAACGGCAATGCCTGGCATGTGGGCGTTGAGAACAGCACGCGCACTCCACACTCATGTATACCCTGGAAATGCCATGCTTGACGGAGCAGCATAATGTGCTAGGGAGTCAAATGGGATGAAGAGCTTATCTAATGTTGTATATATCCAAAGTAAAAGTTCTGTGAATACTTAAAAAGGTTTTCAACTTAAAGTGGTTGCTGCTTTGATTTATTGTTAAAATGAACTAAGAAATTTAGTTTAATTTGGAATATCGGAAAATTTTCTAGATATTATATAAATAATCCTTTAAGAAAAGGGATTCGATTTGATTATTCACATTGAGATACTTCATTATTCGCAAAATTCATTTTTCTTGAAGGAATATTCAAATGTTATATATAAAAGATAGGAACTCCAGTCATCAGGATAGTTCATCGTTATTGTTGTATTTTTTTTATATTGATAGGGCTAGAGCTAAAAACATGTTTATGTTCTATTAAACTCATTTAAATTTTTAAAATAAAATAAAACTGGTAAAAAAATATTACGAAAACCTATTGCTAAAAAAAAAAAAAAAATACTTACATATCTTATCTACCTCTTACCTCTTCTATATATGGATTATGACTTCTTTTTTCATAATTTGGAGTTTATATATTTTTATTTTTCTTAACCCACTCTTCTTATATCCCCACCACATTTACAGGGTATGCTTAACTCTACCACATGCCATTCAAATGCTTGCATAAACAACCGCAACAAGCATAAAATACTGAAACTGAAATGCTCTACGAAAAGTTTTGTGGTCTTTGGGGGGAATGCGAAGCTCGAACTTGTTGCATCTGCAAAGACATTTGATAACTTTGGCTTAGATGTGCACAGGGAATTCATTTTGCAATGAATGACGCACAAAAACATATAATGCATAATATATATATATATTTAAGGATATACATATAATGTAGCTGAATCTATATCAAACTCGGTTTAAACTCATGTTTTTGTCATTTCATTTCCATTGCAGTTACACAACTCGCCGACGTCGCAGAGTCAATTGATGGAAATTTCAGGAAATTCAGGAAATAGTTGATAAAAATAAAACACGCCTAACAGTACACAAACTCCTGTGGCTTGATCGCATTCTTTTTGCCATATATATATACAGCCACAGATAATAGAAATATCTAGATAGATATACACTTATATCTATATATGTGTGTATAAAATTATATATAGCTGTAATTAAACAAGATTGGATTATAGTTTATTTTTGACTGGGACTCTTTGATGTTGTTCATACGGCGGCATTTTGGCAGGTGAGCTTTGACAATTACCGTTAATATATAATTGAATGCAATTATTTATTTATTACGCGTTTAGGTTTTGGTTTAACAATATATATTTAACAATTAGAATTCATTTCATTAAATTACTTCATTATTTTCTGTTGATGTTTTGGTTGAACTGATACATTATTTACTCATTTAATTGAAGGCAATTAATTTTGTTTTCTATGCTTTAAAATCGATAGCAATGAGTGTTAAACAGGGTATATTGAATTTTTGGACAACTTTGGAATGAGGCAATTCAACAAGACGAACATTGGACAAAACTAATCTACTCATTTAACTTCTCTGAATGAGTATAACAAAAAACAATTAAAATAGAAGTGATAAAAATTTATCAGAAATTTATTACAGCTTTTACATCCATAGTTAAGAAAGGTTGAATTAATATTTTAGTCTATCAACTGAATGAATAGAAATGATATTTAAGTACAATAACTGAAACTATAAGATTTACTTTATATATTAAATTCCATGCAGACTATGACATATTAAGCAATAGTTTAATAATCAATAAAAGTTTTTGAGAAATGAATATGTGCTATGAAAATATCTACAGCATCGGCATTTGAGATATTAAGTATAAAAAAGTCATTTGAAGACACAAAAGTTTTGATGAATAATTACCATGAAATATGACAACAATTTTACACCCACTCAAAAAGTGTTTTCATGTTAGCTTTTATGATTATTTCTGGCCTGAAAAATCTCAATAAAATGAAGATAAAAGAAGTTGTTTGAAGCTTAAAAATATATTCATTAATGAACAGAAGCAGAACAATGAAAGTTAGAGCTTAAAGACGGGGTTTCATTACTGTTGACTCCTTAGTAATTAAAAAAAAAAAAAAAAAAAAAACACAACAAACAATATATAAATACTTATTTTCATTTGTTATGTATATATGTTTTATATCTACCTGATCTAGCAGATTTCTGACAGATACAAAGAAATACACTTCAAAGTTATATGAAATAATTAAAAAAAAATGTATGTAACAAGGCAAAATGTTGCCAAGAGAGAGAGAGAGACAGAGAGAGAGTAAGAGGGAGAGTATAAGACTCTCTATGATAAGTTGGGTTAATTGGGCTAATTTACAAAGTATAGGCCAAAGGAGACCTCATGCGTGTGTGTGAATGTTCATGTGTGTGTGTATACACATATATCTATAAAGTCAAATCAGCAGCATTTGAGACCTACAACAACAGCTGAGCATGTATTGTGCGTGAATTCTAAAAGAATAATATATATATTGTAATATACACATACATATATACATATAAACACACACGCACACTATGTTGCCTTTTTGGTATTTCTTGGCGTTCAATTAACGTAAAACATTTGCCAAGAATTTTCTTGAGTCGCTTTGCGCCTCGCCACATACACACATACACATTGGGCAGCTATGCGTTAGCAACAGTGAGGAAAATGGCGGGGGGAAATGCGACAAAGCGTAGTATATGTATGCGTATAAAGCGTATTCGTATTACATACTAATAAATGCATACACTAATTAACATTACGAAGTTGACTTTAATGAGCTCAACCAGAGAGGGGTCAACGTACGATTAGGAGAAGCAAAAACTTTGCACTTGTTTAGTTTTCGCCTTGAATTATGTAAAGCATTTTCATATTTACTTGCGAAGCTCTTCCATTCTTTTTTCTGTTTTCATTTTGCATATTGTAGACGTGGGCCAAAATGAAAGTGCGTCATGCACAAAAGAGAAGAAAATTATTGAACGTCATTGCTGGCAATTTTTATTTGAAATGTATCTTCTTTTTGGAAATCATCAAATATTCATGCGTCTGTGACTTGCTCTCATTGTGCGTGCGTGTGTAGGTATTTGTGTGTGTGCATGTATATGTATATATGTGTATGTGCGTGTGTATCATCAGCAATTCAAGCACGCGTTTTACGCACACACTCGAAATTGCTGAGGGGGCTTCTCTTCTTTTTTTTTTGATGCGTGCGTGCAAGCTTTACTGTACCTGTAGCTGTTGCTCAATCTCAACGGAATATTTTCAGCATGCTTTTATGCTCTACCAGTTAAGAGTACTGTCATTATATGAGGCAGTTTGTAAGGATGGTTATTAGTTAGGAGTTATTAGCTGAATTATTAGCTATGGGACTAAAATTTGAATATAGAGCGAATTATGTCTGTAGGGCAATAAATTGTTAGAGAGATAAAGCTATAGATAGAAAGAGATAGAGATAGAGACTAGAGATATAGGAGAAAGATACATATACAGATACAGATTCACATTCAGATACAGATACAGGCTCACAGATACAGGTACATAGCTACAGATACATAAATACAGATACATAGATACAGATACATAAATGCAGATACATAGATACGGATTCATAGACACAGATACGTAGATACAGATACTTAGATACATAAATACCGATACATAGATACAGATACATAAATGCAGATATATAGATACAGATACATAGATACAGATACATAGATACAGATACGCAGATAAAGATGCGTAGATACCGATACATAAATTCAGATACATAAATACAGATACATAAATACAGATACAGATACATAGATACAGATACATAGCTACAGATACTTAGATACAGATACATAAATGCAGATACATAAATACAGATACATAGATACAGATACATAGATACAGATACGCAGATACAGATATGTAGATACAGATACATAAATTCAGATACATAAATACAGATACACAGATACAGGTACATAGATACAGTTACACAGATACAGATACGTAGATACAGATACACAGATACAGATACATAGATACAGATACATAGATACAGATACATAGATACAGATACATAGATACAGATACATAGATACAGATACATAGATACAGATACAGATACAGATACAGATACAGATACAGATACAGATACAGATACAGATACAGTTACAGATACAGATACAGATACAGATACAAATACATAGATACAGATACAGATACAGATACATAGATACAGATACATAGATACAGATACATAGATACAGATACAGATACAGATACAGATACAGATACAGATACAGATACAGATACAGATACAGATACAGATACAGATACAGATACAGATACAGATACAGATGCAGATGCAGATGCAGATGCAGATGCAGATACAGATACAGATACAGATACAGATACAGATACAGATACTGATAC